GGGCACAGATGGGTGTTTCCGCTCCGAGTACATACTTCTCCGTTGAATGAAAATCGAGTGATGCCGTCGCGTGGACTCAAAACAAATGTTTCGTGGAACAAGCCGAATGTGGAACCCAATGCGGAATCCCGCGCGCGTGTGTGTGCGGAATCCTGCGTGCGTGCGTGCGTGCGTGCGTGCGTGCGTGCGTGTGTGTGTGTGTGTGTGTGTGTGTGAGTGGTGTGTGTGAGTGAACATTGCAGCTTTCCGTCTTGCCAGTCGACAGCGTTGGCCACAACATGATCAAAGACACAGTGCTACGAAACTATGCACACACGCCAAACTTTTCGCGGCGAACGCCTGCAACTTAATGCAAAACGGTTGGTCTCACGCTGAACACGTTACGATCGATAACGAACCAGCTGTCCTGCTCGTGCCCTGCTGTAGGCGCTCAGGCCTGCAGACCTTCAGGTCTGGGCGCGCATACGGACCTGCAGGTCAGCAGATCTGCGTGCCCGTTTTTCCTCATGCTCACCCTTGTTTTCATCCTCATCCTCACCGTCACCACCGTTTTCATCGTCATCATCGTCACAGTCATCACCGTCATCACCATTTTCATCGCCATCCTCATTCTCGCCGTCATCATTAGATTTGCCCTTCCACCGTCATCATCGGCATCATCATGGCTACCATCGTCGTTCGCCATCATCACCCATCACCGTGATCACCACCACCCATCATCGCTGTCATCATCACCATCATCATCGTCATCAGCCACGTTACGCTCAAACGGAAGCGCTGCCTCGCGCGCTCCCGAGCATCCGCGTTCAGCCGCCGCCGCCCTTGCCGCGATGGCCTCATTCAACACGTACATTTACTCCAACAGTAGGACCCCGCCTGGTAATCTTCGTGGCAAGTCAGGAACTACTCCTCATCGTCGTTGCTGTGATTGCGCAGGTTATGTTCCTGCCTCTTCTGCGCCATTCTCCTTCTCCCCCTGGCGCAGGCCCTCCTCTCGCCCCTGCTTTGCCCCTTTCTCGCCCTCCTGCCTTTCTACAATTACTCAATATGAATACTACTCTCCCTCTTCCCCTGATGGCGTGCTGGGAGTAGTAGACCCCCCCCCCGCGTACTGTTTTTTTACACAGGATTCTCGGGAGCTGGGTTTTCGCATGCGTTTTTTTTCAAGATGCTGCTCTCGCTGAGGCGCCGGCCTCATTTCTGCTCCCGAATCGTTCCGAATCGTGCTCCCGCTGCAGCGTGGGCCTCATTTTCGGATCGGTGTTTTGCCTCCGTCGTTCAGGATGGCGTTCTCGCCCCAGCGCGGGCCTCTTTCTCGCGCGCCCATCCGCCCGCCACCACCGCGCCGCACCACGCCCCGCCCTGCCGCACGCACACCCACCGCCACTTCCACCCACCAACGCACGCACGCACGCACGCGCACCACCACCGCGCACCGCCACCACCACCGCACTACCCCACCCACCACCACCACGCTACACCGCGTCACACCACATCACACGCGCGCGCACGCACGACACACACGCACACACACACACACACACACACACACACAGACACACACACACACCACCACCGCCACCACCACCACCGCCATCACGCACGTACGCACCTGGCCCACCACCAAACCACCAAGACGCCACACCACGTCACACCACAGCACACGCGCACACACGCACACACGCACACACACACACGCACACACACACCACCACCACAACAACCACAACCACGCACACACGCACGCACGCACGCGCACCACCACCCACTATGCACACGCGCGCGGAGCCACAGGTCCGCTACGACACGCGTCCGCGGATAGAGAAAATCAGCGCCATGGTTAGGGATGGGAGGGAGGGGTAGGATGTCAGATGTAGACGCGAACGCACCTAGCTTGTCTCCTCCCCCTCCGCGCCTCCCCCCGCTGGCGCGCACATCGATGTTCTTTGGCGCCGTCGCTGCTTCGGTGTACAGGGGCAGGTTCTCCGATGGCCAGATCGCGAAGCCGTTGGGGCAACCTCGCGGGCGCAAGCTGCTGGCGCGCGAGACCAAGCTGCTATGATAACCCCGCGGGCTTCGAGCGGGGCGCGGTCGCGCCCAGGCGGGAAGCAGCGCGAAGCCAAGCTTTGCGGTGAGCTGCTCGGATTCAGCCTTGGAGCTCACCGCTCTCTTGTCGAACTCCCCGGGCGCCTTCCGCAGGGACGCTGGCGGCCCGCGCTCCAAAACCTCGCGCGAGGGCGGCCGCAGGCTCAGCATGTTCCGCAGTCGCGTTCGTGCGATATGCCCGTGCGGCCAGCGCCCTCGTCCCTGGCGCAATCGGTGGTGGCGTCCTTGCGCAGCATCTGACCCTGTGGCAGCATGGGGGTGACGTAGGACGCGTGCGTGAGGGCGAACCTCGGGCCGTGGACGGCGTGCGACGTCGAGCTCCGCCGCGTAAGCTCCTGCTCGCTGGGTCTGGACATGAGCGAGCGCCGCGGCCGCTCCTCGGCCTGGCCGTCGTCTTCGCCGCCTTCGGCTTCTGGTAGATCGGGGTCTCATTGAGTCCGTGCGCCTGCGTCCGGATTCCCTGCGTCAGGAAACGGGGGCGGACGAGCTGGCCTGGCGCGCTGTAGTCGTGCCGCAACCGATGTGCTAACCTCGTATGGAGGTGGGCTCCCGCCCGATACTTCTTCACCGTTGATTCAGAAACGAAGCATCCGTTCAGGAATGCCAGCCGTTTGCTAGCGGATCGTAAGATGATAGGATGATTTGGTCGGATTGCCAAGATGATCAGGCGGTCTCATGGAGAGGGCCCTCCGCCAGAGACTTTTTCGCAAGTCGCTCGCGGACGAGGCTCCCGTTTGATACGTCCTCGACATCCACGCCTTCGGAAACCAAAAGTGACGACAATGACAGGATTTGAGCGACCCGCTCGGGTTGTTAACATGATTTGGAGGCCCCGTAATGCGGGCGTTCCCGGCTGATACCTCCCCACGAGTCATTCACAGACGAGGACCCCGCGCGATACGTTTTCTATATCCACGCATCAGGAGCCGAAGCGTGACGACCAGAACATCAAATGGCTGACCCGCGCAGATTCGTGATATGATTTTGACGGACCCATGAAGAGAGGGCTCCCGTGTGAAGCTTGCCTTATATTTCCCCACAACTCGCTCGCACACGAGGCTCCCGTTCGAGACGTCCTCCAAATCCACTCCAGAGGAAACCAATATGACGTCATTTACAGCATTTGGATGGCCCGCTCGGGTTGCTAACGTGATCTGGCGGCCCCTAAGGGGGGGGGGGGGGTCCTGACTCAGACTTCCCCGCAAGTCATGCACAGGCGAGGCCCCCGCGCGACACGTTTTCCATATCCACGCCTCAGGAACCGAAGCGTGACGACAGGAACAACATTTTGATGACCCGCGCGGATTCGTGATATGATTTTGGTGGCCCCATGTTTAAAAAAGGGTTCCCGCCCGAACTTTCCTCGCAAGCCACTCTCACAAACGAGGCTCCCATTCGAAACGTAATCCAGATCCACGCTCCAGGAACCCAGAAGTGGCGACAGTTACATGAATTGAGTGGCTGGCCCGGATTCCTAACGTGATTTGGCGGCGCCATAGGAAGGGCTCCCGCCTGACATTTCCCCGCAATTCACTCGCAGGCGTTGCTACCGCCCGAGAATTCTTCAATGTGAACACATGTGAGTGCGAGTGCGAATAAAAGTGTTAATGCGTACGTGAGTACGTGTGAGATGGTGGTGGTGGTGGTGGACGTGATGGTGTGAGTGTGTACATGTGGGTGCAGGAGCTTGTGCGATGATGATGATGATGGTGATGGTGGTCGGTGATGATGGTGTAATGGTGGGTGATCGGTGATGATGAATGTGAGTGCGATGGTGGTTGTGCGGTGGTGATGATACCAGATACCGATACTGTGATTTTAGTGACGATGGCGTGATGGTGATCAGGACGAAAGGGTGTGTGAGATGAGGTCGGGGGACTGCGCGGGGCGTCCAGAGAAACCAATTCTCCCATTTTGGACATGGGGACGAGACGGAAACGCAGGCTTCCAGCCAAGGAACTCATCGCTTGCCGGCTCGTGCGGCTTTAGATGGGGTGCCCGCTTGCGTCGGTGCAAGTGCTCCCGTGATGCTTCCGCCGCCGTGGCCACGCATCGGGAATGAGCTAAGGAATAAGGTTTGCCGCGCTTTGCGGAGGCACTTGGAAGATTTCGTCTTCTCGTGGGGTAAGGGTTCCACGATCTCCCACCAGAGAGCGAAGATATTCGTGGTCGCGCTGTGGCCCGCGGGAACGAGGAACGTTCGCCGTTCCCCATGCCTCTTGGTCGTTCCAAGCGGCTCACCGTGAGGATGAGGATGAGGAGGAGGAGGAGGAGGAGAAGGAGGAGGAGGAGGAGGCGGATGAGGAGGAGGAGGAAAAGGAGGAGCAGGAGGAGGAGGAGGAGGAGGAGGAGGAGGAGGAGGAGTGAACCCCTGTCTTCCTTCGTCCCTCCTCGCTTCTCCCCCCTCGGCTCCTCGCCCGCCGCTCCCCTCGGAGGGCGCCCGTTCCATGCGCCCGCAGCCATCCTGGCCAGGCCCGCCCGGGGCCCAGGATCGGGGTGGGGCCTGGCCAGGGCCGGTGTATGCGCAGAGTCCCCTTCGCTTCCAGCTCCTCGCCTTTTGACTCCTCGCCCCTTGGCTCCTGGCCCCTTGGCTCCTCGCCCCTCGCCCCCTCGCCCCGCAGCTCCTCAGCTCTCGCTGCGTCGCACCGTCCCTCCGCCGCTCGGCGAATCGTCGCTCCTCGCCCGTCGCTCCTGGCTCGCTCGCGGGGGCGGGGAGCGGCTTTTTTCGCTGGGGCCGGCGCCGCACCGCGCTCTGCGAGCAGACGCCTGCGGAGGAAGCGCGCGGCGTCGACGCCAAAGGAGGTGCGCGCCGTCGGTGGGGACGGGGGCGCCAGGCGAGCAGCGGCGACGACGATGGGCGGCGCGGCGGGCGCGGCTGGGTCCAGGGGGCGCGGATGGCGGCTCCGCCGACAGGTCGGCGGCCTGGGGGAGAAGGTGCGGCACCACATCCGCGAGCTGCAGCGGCGCCACGACGTGCTCCAGGCGCGCGGGGCCCTTCCCGTCGCCCGCCCGCCCTGGACTTCTGGCCAGCCCAGAAGTCCGCGGGAGGCACCCATACACCAGCGTGCCGCCATGGCTGTTCTGGTCATACCTTCGAGTCCCTCGATGATTTTCTTAGCGATAGCTCCTGCACGGATCACTTTTCCCATCCCTGTTCATCACATGGGCAGCGTGTTCAGTGAGAGGCATTCGCATGCATTGTACACTGTTTTCCATGACTCCTTATACCTCTTGATCCCATCTCTATGCCATCCTCGGAGGCTTTTAAATCTCTCATTCGAATGTGTATCATTGGGCATGCCACGTCCCAGGATGGTCCTGGCCAGGCATGGTGGTGTACAGGTGCCCTCTGCGCATCCCCCGTCCTGGCCGGCTCCAGGGAGAGCTTCCTCTCAGAGGCAGCGACGAGGCTGCTCGCCACTGGGGGCGCAGCGAAGAGCCACGATGTTCGAGCGCACATGCTGGTCATGCGTGGTAGTGTGCATGCGGGCGGGAGCAGCGCTGCTTTCTCTGGGCCCATCAGGTGCAGGGCCCGCCGGAGCTGGCGGGAGTGGTTCAATACGTCCGCGCCTTCGCTTGGCCCCTGCGAGCTCAGGAGCCCTCATCGCTCCCCCCTCCGCGACTCCCAGGGGGCCTCCCAGAGCCTCCAAGACGGCCCACGCGCACCCCAAGATGTCCCGAGAGGGTTTCCAGACGGAGTCCATGGGGGCCCAAGAGGCTCCGAGATGAACCATAGACCGCCCAAGAGGCCTCACGAGGCCTCCTCCCTAGCCTTTTGGCTAAAGCCGTTTTGGTCCAAGGCGTCGCGTCAGGGCAGATACCGATTCGCATTCCGCGGCGTTGTTGATTCCTGCCTCATCCATGAGTTGTCTGCTGCCATGGCTTTGCATTTCCTGCTGTGCTCGGCATGCTGGTCGTCTGGGACCCAACACTACAGGATGGTTGGGAAACAGAGGACTCACGAGACCTCCACAGAGTGCCCCAGACAGCGACTATCTTGCAATAACGCCCCACCGTTTTGTTGTTAGTTCGTGTGTTCTAGCTTTTGTGCTCCAGATACCTCCACGAGCACCTCGGAGGCGCCCATGAGGCTCCTGAGACTTCAAGATGCCCCAAAGAGATCCCCAAGAAGCGCCAGAGAGGCCCCGAAGAGTCCCCCAAGACAAGAGGCCCCCAAGGCAGCCCAGGCGGCCGTGTAAGCAGAGCGCCCCTGTAGCATCCTCCAATTGGTTCAGAAAAGGCCCCCACGAGGTCCGAAAGCGACAACCAAGAGGCCTCCCAAGAGGCCCCCCACGATGCCCCGCAAGGACCCCGCAGGGCCCCAAGGATGCCCCGAAGAAGATGCCGTCCCCGGGACTCCCTGGCGGCTCCCCCGAGCCTTCTTGGGAAGTCACTTCCGCCTTGCTCTTCGTGCCCCCCACTGTTTTGCGAGGCCTCATTGTGAGGACAGACATCGATTGTAGGAAATGGCTAGGATTTACGATGCCACCACTGTCGGTGGCCGACAGACCGCCTTCTGGGGTCCTCTTAGAACGCTCCAAGGGCGCTCTCGCAGCTCTGTGTGGCCGTGCTGGAGCTCTTCTAGACACTTCTCGGGGATCTCTTGGACGACATTGGAACCATCTTGAGGTTGCAGATCCAAGTACTTGGCGTCGCTCGGTCGCCACTTCGTGGATTCCCGGGAGGTCCAGCAGAATGGTGTCGCCCGCGGATCAAAGCGGCACCTCGCCTCACGTGGCGCTGCCAGCACCGCAACTGTCGGCATTTTCTCGTGAGCTCCTGGGAGGCCCAGCGGAATAGTGGCTTACGCAGGTCCAAGTGGGACTTCGCTTCCTTGGGCGCTGCCGATTGCGCAACTGTTGCAGCTTTCGTGGGCTCCTGGGAGGTCGAACCACTTTCGTGAGCTCTTGGGCGATCGAGCGGAGCGACGTCCTACACCTGAATTTCACGTTCTTCTGGTGTCGCCTCAGATCGCTTTCGTGGGGCCTCCAGTGCACAGGTTCCCGTTGGAGGTCGCAGAAGGGACAACGCGCCCTCTAACATGTTCGCTCCTCTTCGATGAGCCCGTCGCTATTGCCACATGTTGCAGTTGGGTTGGGTGCGTCTCTTTTATTCTTAGGCTGAGGATGGCTCTAAGAGGGCTTTGAGAAGCCGAGGAGCGTCGAAAGAGGCCTTGCGACGGCGCCCAGAGGTCCCATCGATGGCCCAGGACTGCCAGAAGAGAATCCCGAGAGGGCCCTACCAAGCGACCAGAGGAGCCCAATAGGGCTCAAGAGTTCCCCAAGACCGACCCAGACGGCCAAGAGAGCCTAAGACAGCCACAGGAGAGTTCAAGACAGTCCAAGAGGGCCCAAGAGGGCCACAGAGGGCCCCAAGAGATCCCCCAGATGGCCCGCATCAGCCACATCCTATGGGATTCTAGTCGTTGTACTTCAGCCACTTGGGGTTCCGAGCATTTCTGCTGAGTATGTCTCCATGAGGTTTTCGAAGAATGCACAGAGCGTCTCGAAGGCTCCCCCTCCTCCGTGTCCATGCAGGATCAAGCATTGCTTCACCACTTATTCTTTTGCTGCGCAAAACTTCTTACCTATCGTTAGGGCAACTTCAGCGGCGATGCCCACCACATTCTTGGTGGCATTGCTCTTCACATCCGTGTTACCGTGCCAATGCCGTCGAACGCATTCAATTGGCGAAGGGTTTGCTCTAGTTCCAGTTGATGATGAGAAGGTCGTCGACGCTGCCAAGATCATGATCCCAATCGCCAACAGCAGACTCGCACTGAATGGCAAAGTCATGAAGTGCTGCCGCCACTCCCGGAATGGAACAACGATTCTGCAAGATATGGCAGAACATATTCCGAAAGAGCGAACCGTGTGCTTTGACAAGGAGGGGTGCGGATGTCTTTTTGGCGATCATTTTCACAATTATGACTACTATTCCGAACCCGTTTGCGATGTGAAGTTGAGCTATCTCTCCCGAGCGACAGGTGGGTCTGTGGAACATCTTTGGAGCATGGCCGTTGACGCCATCGTTGGCATCAAGCCTGTTACTCATGTTCTGCCACCAGCACTGGACACCTGCAACGTTACAAGGCCAGAGGGGAACCACACCCAACACATGTATTGCACTCGGGACCAAGGCTTCGCCTGCGAAGTCATCAGGGCCGGGTCTAAACTCAAATCGGAGCGGGCGACAGTCTGGAGTTCGGATGGCTGTGGCTGCGATGCTAAAGCCTTCAGGGAGGGCTCATGGAATTGGAGGAAAATTCCCAATGGCCCACGCATCTGGACCGCCGATTCTTTCGTGACCGAGGACAAGCCAACTTCAGGGTCGCCTGGCCACAACGGCGGCAGACACGTCACGAACATCATCAATGGCATCACCTATAAACACATTGCTGCCCTGGACATTCCGATTCCAGTTCGTGCTGAGCCTTTCGTCCGTTCGTCAATTTCGCGCATTGGGAAGCAAATCTGGCGGAAACGGAGGCAAGTCTATGAGTTGAAGTTCGGCAGCGACACCTTCATAATGCAATCCGTTTCGCAGCAGGTTGATCCAATGCTGACGGATAACTCTGGCCTGAAGGACTTATCGAAGACGCCTACGGCGAATCACCGCCGCCCCCTGCCTTTTTGGAAGCGCCTATGTGGCCGAACGTTGAGGCCAGACCTGCCAAGCCATCGGACCATGTGTTCCCCGAATCGGTTTGGACAGCCTTCGGGGAACACGTGGGCATCTTGAAGGTCATCTTGGTCGTCTTGGAGGCCTCTTGGGCGATCTTTCGGCGATCTTTGGGGGCTCTGAGCCGTCTCGGGCTGTCGGAAGACCGAAAAGAAGGAAATGTCAAAATCCGTCGCAAAGCTTTGGAAAATCAAGGTTTTTGGCCTTTTCTGACCTTCCTGGAGGCCCTCTTGGGGGCCTCTTGGGCCGTCTTGGGCCAGCTTCGAGCCAACTTCGGCCATCTTGCTGGGTTCCTGGCACGTCTGACGCCGTCGGGAGCCGTCTTGGGGGCCTTTCTGGGCCGACTTGGGGTCCTCTTGGGGCGCTTCGGGGCCGTCTGGGAGGCCATCTTGGGCGTCTTGGAGGCCATCTTGGGCGTGTTGGAGGCCTCTTGGGCCGTCTTGGGGCCCTCTTGGGGCCATCTTGGAGGCCACTTGGGCCGTCATGGGGCCCTCTTGGGGGCCTCTTGGGCGATCTTGGGGGCCTCTTGGGCCGTCTTGAGCCGTCGGAAAGCCGAAATTCCAAAAGCCTTCTAAAACTTATGGAAAATCAATGATTTTGGCCTCTTCGGGCCCTCCTGGAGGACCTCTTGGAGGCCTCTTGGGCCGTCTGGGAGGCCTCTGGGGGGCCTCTTGGGCGTTCTTGGGCCGTCTTGGACTCTCTTGGGCCGTCTTGGAGGCATATGAAAGCCATCTTAGCCGTCTTGGAGACCATCCTGGCCGTCTTGGAGGCATCTTGGAGGCCATCTAGGAGCCGTCTTGACAGAAAAAGTAGGGAATCGAGGTCCGCGGCAATCCTCCCGGGACCCCGGCGGGACGCGCCGGAGCCCCAGGGGGAGTTTTTTAAAAAGAACCAAAACCAAAACCTAGAGGATTCAGCACGCCAGGCACCCCTGTGATGAATCAACAGGGGGCGGCGGATCCAGCTGCCTCCGGCAAGTCTCGCCACCGTGTCTGGGTTGTTGGTTATAAGCCTAGTGGAAGCTCGTTGGAATCTCGTGGGAGGCCTCTCTTGAGCCTCTTGGAGGCAGTTTTGAGGCCTCTTGGGGACCGTTTTGGGGTCTCTCAGGGGGCCTTGTGGGGCCTCTGGGGGTCCTCTGGGTGGCCTCTGGGGGGCCTCTTGGGGCCTCTTGGGCGCCCCCTGGGGCCCCCTGGGAGCCCCTCAGGGTGGAAGGTTAGCATTTTCGGTTCGTGTTCCCTCGCTGGGACCCCTTTGGGGGCCGTCTTGGGGCCCTCTTGGGCCGTCTTGGGACCCTCTTGGGC